TCCCATGACCAGAAATCCTCCCCACGTCCATGGACATTAGTTCTGAGTATGGCTTCTGCATCAAAAATACAAAACTTCTCACGAACAAGTGCTTCATTCCACTGGCCGTTAGCTGTTAGGAGTTGCGAAACTGTTATGAGCTGATCCCCAATTGGAGGTGTTAGCGGGCAGCCAGTTGGGTGATTGGGAATCCAACGATCATGCCAGATGCTTGTAGACTGACCATCACCGGTTCTATTTTTTTTCTCGAAAGATCTGTTACCGGCTTTCATTAATAATAAGGAAAGAGCACAATAATTAGTTAATTACAAGGTTTTGGCGCAAGGAGCGCCCATTTTGCATGGCTTTCGCATTATAGTGAGTACCATCACCAATTCTTTTTAACAGACCACATCGAAGGGTGTCCCTGCCTGCCAGGACAGCACGCCAAGTTTGGCTCGCATGCCGTTTCGAGTCGCAGATAGGAAATCACCATCCTGATAATACCGGCCTTTCAGGACCCTCGCACACAGGGAGTCCGGTCTCGTCATCAAGCGCCATCCTTGCTTGCCAAGCATTGCTTTATTAAACAAGGGGAGATCACGAAAACCCATACCCCCGGACACTTTCGGTCGTGTTAATCGCTCCCACCGCATCCAGTGCATATGTCTATTGTCCACTGAGCTGCTCTACCAGTAATTGGCAATAGTTGTCTTCATCTTCTTGCAAGTACTGACTGGAAGAAGAAAACAGCTCATTGGATAAGTAACCACTGCCTGTGCTTTCGATTTCAGCAAGACTTCTCGGTCCGCACAGCTAGCTTGCCGACCTGACCAGCAGCCCACCAGCCCCTTGATCCTTGTTGGCATATACTCAAAGGCATCCTTCAGGGAACGACCGGCTGCTGTTGGCAAGCCCAAATATTTTTCAGCTAGCACCTCATTCTGAATGTGCAAGGCGCTAGATACTGCATGTTTCAGCTCCTCGTGACAATTCTTGCTATAGAACACTGCTGACTTGTCATAGTTAACCAGTTGTCCGGATCCTCGGTGATAGAGCTCCAAGATATTCCTCAACTGATCAGCCCCTCTCTGCGATGCTTCAGAGAACACGATGCAATCATCCGCAAAGAGCAAGTGCGAAATCCATGGGGAGTGTATGCTGACACGCACCCCCTGGACAAATGCATTGGACCAACCGACTTCAGCAGTGAACAGAGCCCTTCAGCGCACAACAAGAAAAGGTATGGGGAGATAGGGTCCCCCTGCCGAATACCTCTCGTTGGCCTGAAACAACTTGATAGCTTTCTATTAACTTTAACTGAGAAAGATACTGATGTAACACACCTAATCACACGGTGAACAAAGTTCTCATGGAAGCCCAACGCCAGCATGACCCCCTCCAGATAGGGCCATTCACCCGGTCATAGGCCTTAGCCATGTCGAGCTTCACTGCACACGCCCCTGTCTTCCCTTTCTTTCTCTTCAAATAATGTGTGCACTCGTATGCAGTTAGAACATTATCAGTGATAAGGCGTCCCGGGACAAAGGCACTCTGCTCATCAGATATTATACTATCCAGGAAACCTCTCAAACGATTAGCCAAAACCTTGGAACAAATTTTATATATAACGTTACACAAGGATATTGGACGAAAATTCTTCAATTCTTACGGGCTTGCAACCTTTGGGATGAGAACAATGGTGGTGTGATTTATTCCTTCCACCAGCTCTCCTCCATCCAGAAAATTCAGCACAGCTCGCGTCACACACGGTCCAACTAAGTCCCAGTGGGTCTGGAAGAAGCCGGCTGTAAAGCCATCCGGACCCGGGGCCTTGTTCGGACCCATCATAAAGAGTGCTTTCTCCACCTCTTCAGCTGCGAAGGGTCTGTTAAGGCTGCTATTAACATCGTCAGAGACCTTATTTGGCACATAATGCAGCACCGCCTCAGGCTCCAGGTCTGCCGCTGCTGTGAACAAGTTTTGGTAGAAATTGACAGCGCAAGCCTCCAATTCATCTTGCTGTGTGGCAACTGAGCCGTCATCTCGCCGCAGCAGCTTGATACGGTTGCTGCGCGCGAGCTCTTTGGCTTTCGCCTGGAACATGGCTGTGTTTCGGTCGCCATCACGCAGCCAATCCAGCCTTGATCGCTGCTTCTCCATTATCTCCTCCCTTGAGAGCAGTTCGGAGATTCTTGCCATTAGTCTCCTCTCTTTCCGCGTAGGTCCAGAACCGATGGAACGAGCTCGCACCCTTTCCAAGTCGTTCCTGAGTCTCGCAAGAGTCCTCCTGACAGAGCCAAAAACATTAAGCCCCCATTCCTGCAACGATCGCTGAACATTCCCAAGTCTCGATTGGAGTTGGGTAAGGTTCGCCACCTCCCCTTCTCCCCATGTGGATTGGACAAGCTGCAGGTAGGATTCATCTCTTCTCCACATATTCTCATATCTGAATGATCTATGTCGCCTGTTCGAAGTCTCTCAATTGCATTCAATCAAAAGGCAGCAGTGATCCGACTCTGTGGTTTGAACGTGCCAGACCGTCGCTTCAGGAAAAAGGTCGAGGAATTACTGGTTGGCAAACCCCCTGTCTAGCCGAACCTTGTTATCATGTATACCTTCTTGTCGGTTGTCCCAAGTATACGGCAAACCGGAGAAGCCCAAATCCTGAAAACCACACATTTGGACAGCCTCTCTGAAACCATCCATTTGGCGTTCTGATCGTGTATTACCGCCAAATTGTTCACTCGCCTCGAGAATCTCATTAAAATTTCCAGCACAAAGCCACGGGAGATTACCCTGGCTGCTAAGGAACTTCAAAAGATCCCAACTTCTGTATCTCAATTCCCTCCTCGATTCACCATAGAATCCTTTGAACCGCCACATCTCCTCATCCGACTCCGGATCAAGAATCACAATATCAAAGTGTAACCTATCATAGCTAGTCAGTTTCACTTTGATATCACGGCTCCATAGTAGAGCCAAACCACCACCTCTCCCAAAGCTGCCTACCCCCATACCAAACGGTAGGCCAAAGGAGCGAAGCAAAAAATCCACTTTGTCACTGAAAATGCGAGTCTCCGATAAGAACACCAGACTAGGCCTATGTAGCTGGATCAAGCTACGAACTTCTTGAACTGCCTCTGATTGGCCCAAACCCCGGCAGTTCAAACTTAGAATTTTCATTGTGCCCAGCGGGGGCTGCCACTCGCAGCCGCCGCTGATCGTGCATCATTTATAGGGTAGGACATGCGCTGCTTCTTGAGCAGCTCCTCGGCAGTTTGACTGCCACCATCGCGCTCACGCCCAAGCTGGGACATCAGGTCCTTGACCAGCCCAGCCGGCACCAAGGCCGTAGTGTCATTGATTGGAAGATTCTGGTCCGGAGTGGAAGGGGTACGCTCTTCTGAGCCCTTGGCTTTCCTCTTCCTCTGAATCTGCAGGTCCGGCCTCCTCTTTTCCTGAAGGAGTTGCCTGTGAGCCGATCCATCCCCACTGTGCTCGTTCCGCTCCGTATTCCGGCTTGCCTATTTCAGCGGAGAAATCACCTCATCCTTTTCTGCCACCGCCTTGCCAGAACTAGCACTGGCTTGGCGCTGCTGAAAGCCCCCTCTACCCGTCGACCGGTTAGAATGAGCCGATCTCCCCGAGGAACCACTCCCAAATGACTCCGTCGCTGCATCTGCGAAACTCAGTTTTCTTTCTCCTCTCCTCAGGAGCCCTTAACTGTACATCGTACGACAACTTCACCATTGCATTCCGCGCAGCCGGGGTGTCACACTCTAGCTCAGAATGGCCCAAAATGCCATACAATTTGCAAAAAAAGGGAGTTTCTCATATTGAAGATCGAACCAATCCTTGTTCCCTTTCCTATCAGTCTGCAAAAGCACCCCCTACGTAGTGGTTTATTGATATCAATGGCAACCCGAGCTCGTAGAAAGGCGCCGCTTGGCTTGCCCCCTTGTCAACATCCATCTTGACAACAGAGCCAACCAGAGCCATAGCACGCTCGCCCCGGTGGGCGTTCATCCACCCAAGTGGAAGGTTCAGGATACGTACCCACAACTCCATCCTGTCAAAACTCACTTCGGATGGCCTCAAAGATTCATCATACGGCTGTAGGATAACTGCATGCTTCCCTACCATCCAAGGCGATCCTTCAAGGGCTCGCAACATGTCTTGATGATAGCTGAAATCTGCCACAAAGAGGTTCTGCCCCTTCTCTCCTATCGACCTGAAAGACAGCCCGGGTGGATTGCCCCAGGCTGGTTTCATCGCTCCCTTAGAACAAGCGTAGAATCTGATTGGTTCATTGCATTAGCATGTATTTAGGCTTGTGCAGTGCAGATACTTTTATGCAGACTTGCACAGTGTTCAAAACAAGCCAATGCAGCATTAGCTAGTACACCCTATTTTTATGTATTATTAGACATGCAAATTTGCATGAGCCGATAGGCACACAAAAAAATCATATTCTCTACCTTTACTAGATACATTAACCTCAACCAAAACATATAAGGTGACTATATGAAATAAAATGTAAATAAATAAACATGATTTTATCGGATGCAACTTGGTCTATGCAGAACAACTAAACATAAAGACAGTAAGACAAGCACATGTATGTTTATGCTGGCTTAGGTTATACTACATAAGGTCTAATACAGGCTAAGTCTGATACATATAACCAATCGACCCATAGGGTTGTACATAGACTTCATGTTGATGTGTGTGAGAGAGAGAGAGGAGAGAAGAGAAGCAAACTGTAAGAGCTTATGCACAAGAATAAAAAAGAATCTTTGTAAATCAAAACAAGTAGGTCATACTTAAGCCAACTAATATATGAATACTCATCGCAAAAAAAGATAGTATATAAGTACATGACTACATATAGCCAACACAGGACTATATTATTGGCCCTGATGTTAGAAATCCATGCTCCCTGTTTCGAAAAAAAAAATCCATGCTACCTGCCTAAATCTAAAAATGTGTACGTGGCCGCATTCAATTCAGCCATGTAGCTAATAGCACGTGATGCTGACTTTGTCGAACACCGTCGACATGAAGTGCGTCCCTGGCGACGCGGGCGAGGGCGGTGGCGCCACGGGCAACTTCAGCGGACACTTGACGTCCAGCCTCCGACTCCCGCCGACGTGAACCGGCCGGTACTTGAACGCCCCGGTGAGCCTGAGCTCGAACTCGACCACGCCGGCAACGGTCTCCCTTGCAAACTCCGCCGCCGCGTCGATGCCCAGCTCAAATCCCACCGGTGAGGACGACACGGCTAACATGCGAAACTCCTCCGTGTGCCGCGGGTCTATCCTCATGCCCGCGTCCACCAGCCGTGCGCCTTCCAGGCGCCTCCCCGCGAAGAACAGCTCGGCGTCGAGCGGCGCTGCGGGCTCGGCGCGCATCGCCCAGTTGCGGTTGCGTAGGGAGACGGTGAGCGACAGGTCGTACACGAGCGCCGTGCCGTTGGCGCCGGCGAGGGCGAGCCGCGACACCGACGCGTCCTTCACGGTGGCGCGGACCGGGTAGACGACGCCGAAGGCCGGGACGAGCACGCAGATGAGCGCCGCCCCGATGAACAAGCCGCAGATGCTGCAGGCGAAATTTAATGCACTGCAACAGCAGCAGCACAAGCAGCCGACACAGGATTCGACTATGTACGAGCAGCAGTCGTCGTCGTACATGATCCCGACCAATCCGCTAACGATGGTGGCTAGGCTGTTTTGCGCAACGCGGGACGATCTATCAAGCAAACTAGAGACCTAGAGCTACTGGCACTCAAATCGGAAATTGCGCCTTATTCGTGCCCTCGGGCGTAGTTTTATTCGTACAATGATAGTGTTGGGTTCGGTTTCCATTCCAAGATCCAATCCGATTACAGCATTATTAAGCGTTTGCGTTGTCGTGTTTGTTTCAGCCTCCACCGTTGCATACGAAACTGAACTGATCGATCACGCGGGCGGGCGCAGCGACCAGGAAAATTAGGCTGTAGGGGGTCAGCTAAAATCTCATCTCAATCCATATAGATGGTCCAGGAATTTCAACTGAACTTTCAGCCTGGATTGGGTGAGATTCGGCCCATGAAGAAGCAGGAAAACAGGGGATATACAATCATTCCTGCCGGAGCCCATTATCAACCCATTACTTCATTGAGAGGTTCTTGTCAGATTTGCCCACGGCAAACACTAAACCAGAAACAAAAAAGGAGCGTGCATCAGCAAAGTCTGCGCCTCGCTGGATTCCTTCATCAGCAGGAAGCATAAAGGTTAATGTTGATCCAAACGCACGGTATTTCAGTTAGCAGCACCTGATGGTAATCCTCATTACCAAACAGGTTCCTGTTTTATGTTTCTGTATATGTATGGCACTTTCTACTTTCTCTTAATGAAATGGGCAGGGCTAGTCGGACGCCTGCAACTGCTTTCAAAAAAGATCGATCGAATACCCCCCTGCTCGTGATTAGATCCCCGCTCCTGCCCGCGCCTTCTGCCCGCCAAGCGCGCTGATGACCGCGTTCGACTATCCGCGACTCGATCCCCATCCCGATTGCGCCCCCGGCGTCAAGCCCAACGGTCTCCCTTGCAAACTCCGCCGCCGCGCTCCTTCCCACCCACACGCCCGCCGCGTCTCCTCCCCGCGCACGCAGGCGCCCTCCTCGTCGTGTTCCTCCTCTCGCCGTGGTGGCGGCGCCGATCCTGCCGTTGGCGCCGGCAGGCGAGCCCGTCCTCCGCCGGGCAGACGATTTGTGTCTCGGATGAGCGCCGCCCTTGAACCCCTGCTGCAGGCATCCTAACGTCTCATCTCCTCTGCAACATCCATCCGACTGTTGCAACATATGCAATATACTATTGAAACATACTTATATAGTCATTGCGACATTTATACGAAATACATGAAACATGCGTCTGAAACAGCTGAAACATTTGGAACATACATTTGCAACATACGTCTAAAACAGATGAAACACGTGGAACATACACTTCAAACATACGTGTGTAGACAGATCCTTTTGCAACATCAAGATGAACACACATGAAACATACAGATGAAACACGTGAAATATACGTCTGAACCAACTGAAACACTTGAAACATATACTTGCAACATACACAACATACATATGAAACATTTAAAAACAACTTCTGAAACACAGATGAAACAAAACATGGCCCCGCCCGTAGCCATGGCCTATTTTGGTGGAGAAATACGGTAGCCAGCAAGCGGCGCTCGGGTGCAGTGGAGAGGGAGGATGGTGGCAGGCAAGCAACTGGGCGTGGTGAAGAACGCCGTGCCGAAGCAGTCGCCGTGGACCACGCCGTGTCAGCTCGAAGAACTCGGAGGTGGTGAGTGGCGGTGGGGAGACAGGAAAGCAAGCGGGCAACGCAGCGCGAGTGGAGCGATGGGAGCACGCTCTGCATTGCGGGCAAGCGCGGTGGTGTAGAGCGAGCGACGTCACGCGGTGGGAGCGGTGGGGAGCGCGCGCGCGGTGCGCGCGGAGAGTTGGTTCGAGAATGGATGGGGAAACAACGATGATTCGAGAAGGTGAGAGTGATGATTTTTTATTTTTATTTCCGTATGGGTGACAGTGTTGCATGTTGGACCATTCGGCGTCGAGGCTCATCAATGCGCGTCCAGACGAAACGGACGCCGTACCCACAACATTATGGTAACGAAACACGTGCAAACACATGGTCGCGGAAAAAAGGTTAATGTTGATGCTGCTCTCTCAAAGGTATCGACGACCGGAGCCGCTGTTGTGGTAGCCAGACATGAGAACAAATGACTGATGCAAGTTGTGGAACAAGTTGCTGTCCGAGCGCTTGGCAGATATAGAACCAGACCTCCCGGGTGTAAGGGCAGGATGCGATAATATGATCCATGGTTTCCGGAGCTTGATCACACATATAGCAGTTCTCTCTCGCCTCCAAGCCATGGCGTGCTCGCCGGTCATTGGTCCAGTGTCTGTGTTTGAACACCAACCATAGGAATATATTTTGATTCTTATTAATGGTGCCCAGGTCTTCCAGATCAGCGTGTGTCCGCGGAACTTGATTGCGCCGGTGTGCAGCATGTTCTATGCCGACCTTGCATTGTATGTTCCATCAGGCTTCCATCGCCACACTGTCTTGTCAGGCTGGTCGGAGAGCACGACGTTGTCCAAGGTCGCCCATAACTGCAAGTACTCAGCAATGGCCGGAACTGAGAGTCCACCGCTGATTGATCGCACCCAAAAAAAAATCTCTATCAACCGAAGGGGATTGAGAGGGATTAAATTCCATACAAGTCAAAATCCCTATCAACCCTCTCCAATCCCCTTCAACCATTTAGATTCTGAAATCAACCGAACAAGGCATAAATGGTTTTCACGGAATCAATGAGGGTGTGAGTAAAACGTGATCTCGCTAATACGGTCTCGACATACAGGAAAAGATGAACGTGACAGAAAAATCTATGAACAATTGGGAAAGGGAGACAACATGGAAAATCCCCTTTCTTCCTTACTTTGCTACAGTATCCTTTACTGTACAACCGAACAAATGTCCCTATTCTAGGCAGAGGGAAAAAGGAAGAGAGAAAAAGCCTACAAAGACGTCACATCAGCAGCCTGCAGCTGCAGAGAATGCCTTCCGAGTCGCTCACAGATTATGGGTGTAGTACTCCAGCTAGTTTTGTATCGGGTTGGACCTGCTCGGCGTCTGCTTCTTCAGATTCTCGGACACCTCGTCGGCGCGGGCAGGAACCTTGTCTGCCGCCTTAGCCGCTGCCTGGAACACCTCTCGCCGCGCTTTCTCTGAGTCTGAGCTGACGAGTACGCTCTGCAAGAGCTTTCTCGATTGGATCCTCTCCTTTGAGACCATGATAGCAGAAGGTGCCAGGAGGCAATAATGCAGGAGTAGCAAGGCAGAGAGGAGGCTGAAGGCGCAGACGCTGAAGGCTCCCATGGCTGATGGCTCTGCCAACTGATGAGTGATGAGATCAACTGAGAAATGAGGACACTGGGAACTCAAGCCTGCTCTTATAAGAACTTGCATTCCATGTGAGTACAGTCAGCACCGAGAGATCAGAGATCCGAGCTCAGGAGCTCTAATGATTGTGTTTGATTCAGCATGTGATGTGCGCGCAACATTAGTTCAGTACCAACTCCCGTTGTATCTTTTTGTGTGAGTGCCCATTCGGCGATGGTGGGCGGCACATGGAGCCAACCGAGCCATATAGATTCCATCCACCTTTTCATCTTCTCCACGTATTTGTATATTTATTTTTTGTCCATAACAAAGTCTTATTTTTTTCAGGAGAAGCTTTCTAGTTTATAAAACATGAGCATGAGTTTTCTTTCGTGGATTTCTACTATTTTTTATTGTCAGTTTAGATATACGTTTGGTGTAATCTAGTAGTCTCCAGTTCCTGTCAACTTGCAGAGCATGCAACATCATCACTGATGTATATTTAGGGGAAATGTTTCTTGATATGTTGGGACCAGTGAGCCATCGCAACTCATTCACCTTTTGCTCCTCTTTTGCTAGATGCTTGCTACAAAGCTGCTTTACGAGCGATGAGTGACTCTGGATCCAGATATCAGCGGTGTCATGAGAAATCAGCCATTGTATACCTGACGTACAGTCCCTCCGAATCAATCTGGTGCAATTAGAACTTAGAACAGGGCCTCGTTCACTTTGCAAAAAAAGTGAACCCGATGAATAGTACAACTTTAGTCTTATTTGGCAAATGTTGTCCAATCATGGACCAACTAGGCTCAAAAGATTCATCTCGTGATTTTTCCAACTAAACTGTGTAATTAGTTATTTTTTTACCTACATTTAATACTCCATGCAAGCGGTTAAAAATTGATGTGATGGAGAGAGAGTGAAAAAACTTGGAATTTGAATGGCATCTAAACAAGGCGTAGAATTGGAGAAAAGAGGCAGGAGTGAACATCCACATGCCACACCCACATGACAGAAAAGACAGACCCATTTCAAGATCTCAAAGGCCCCAAGCCTTGGACTCACCGGTTTGACCACGCTAATCATTGGTTTTGTTGCCTCACCCACACCGTTGTCTTCTTCAGAACAACTCCTAATGTTCCCTAAGGTGCATGAACCTGTTTATCACAAATCCGCTCAGACCAAGATATTATATATATATATATAGAGGGAGGTTGCTTGGAATACGCTAATCACGAAACGATCGTAAATTTCTGGTCAAAATAATATTTTTCTCTTACACCAAATCAACCAGCAGTAATAATTTGTTTTAGCCCCAGCCGAACAGACTGAAGAGCGGGCCGCGAAATTCCTGCCAGCTGCCGAGTAAGAAGTAGCCCGTCTCCGAACCGCGCATTTGGCAGCGCCTGCGCCCGAGGGAATGTGCCAAAAAATTGCAGCTGTATTCGGCACGAAACCTGTAGTAGAGTAGATTGCTTGTGTCTCTGGCTAGGCTAGGCCAACCGGGCAGCCCTTCCAACGCAGGTTCTCCTGAAAGTTGCTTTGGCAGCTACAAACGGATGACGAGGACCGTAGGCAGGTGGCGGCGGCGTGAAGGAGACGGCGAGTCCGCAGCAACCAACTGCCGTGTCCGTGTTCAGCACTGTGACTGTGACAAAGGCTTTCATGCGACCGTGCCCGTGGACAGGCACGGAATCTGCTTGCTTGCGCGCGCGCGTCCAGTTCAGGCTGCACGTCGATGCACGCCAGGTGCAAACACACACGTTAATCTCCGCGCCGCGCCGATCTGCTGGTGATTTGACGTCGTCGCGTCTCTTTCTCGAGGGGTGATCACCCCACGCCTGAAATTGCGATCCTAGCAAGCGTAACACGTCAAGTAAGTACAACCTGTCAAAGCTCTCAGTCCTGGACCCGGCTGGACCAGCAGCAATCGCTGGAGGTCGCCGTCTACTACCAACAACGGTGAGCGGCATCCGTATTTGGGGACCTAAAATCCTCAATTTCTGCCAACAACAGCGTCACAACAAACTAAATCGAGTGTCTGAATCCTACTGGAGTACTGGTCAAGTGGCTGAAACCTGAAAGCCTCAAAGCCAAGACGAAATATCAAACCATTCCATTGTGTTGAAACTACTCCTGCTTGTCTTTGTTCGGAAATAAAAAATTTGAATAAGCACTAAAGCACAGCAAACACAAACATAAGCCAGATTAAGAGAAATGACGCATGACCAACAGGAAGCACTCTGAAGCTTAGAACCTATCGAGATTGACACGTTTGGTAGCAACAGTTACACAGCCAGAGAAAAAAAAGCAGATGATTAGCACAAGAACATATATATCCCGGTGTCAACTAATACATACACAGCTATAGCATTGCTTCCATGAACCTTGGAGCACTAGGTCTACTTGCACTAGGTCTACTTCCACCTGAATTACAAATTTGAATCCTCGGTTCAACTTGTACTGCCAAGGATGACAATATGCCAACGACCAAACAATTAACCAAGAGTAAAAAAAAACTAAATGTCTGTTACTGCCTTACTGGACAGTTTCATATACAGACCAAATACAATACAAGCTGATGAACCATAAAGCTCTACCTGCTGGTTAAGGTGAATCGATAGATGCAATCAGCCGATAACACCGAAATTCTTTCCCGCCCTGTTCATTATTTTCCACATGCTCCAACTTGACTTCAATGTTTTTTTCCCACTTGATCTTAAGCATGACAGTTACAATGAAATGTAGCACTAATAACTAAATGTAGTTCCAACAAACATCTTAGACCCATGCATTGTTTTAGCATGGCCCTGTGGCCTTATTGCATCAGTAAGGCATTCAATATGGAATATTGATTATTGGGTAAGCATAAGCCATTGCAAAATCAGGAGGGGAAACAAACATCAGGTTTTAGATGTGTTCAACAAAAGAACCGGTTTCCAACATCTGAGCAGAAGTTTCAATCTGCATTTGCCCCTGGCTTGGTTACATGAAGACCTGACTCCTATGCACTTATGAAAACACTAGGTCGCATCAACAAATCCCCCTTAGGTCAATGAGTCCTCTCATCTTTACATCATAATATCATTCAGAATCATATATATTGCATGCAAATCAAGCAACTGAAGGTATAACAAGTAGGCTACCCATTGAGTCAACGGTCAAATGAGCATGAGAGAAAAACTTTATTCTAAGATCACTAAGCATGTCATCATCAACACCGATAAACCACAAACTGACTTAAAGAAAAAGTTTTGAGCCTCACTCCACTCCTGATCCCAACCAACTCTACAGGTTTCTTGGTCCATGTCCAAGAAGCAGCAAACGAGTGTGGGATCAGATGTACCATCAACTTACTCGTCCTCTCCTCTACCGCTTACTTACCCTCTCCATCCCTTGCCTCATTGATGGCATCTGCTGCGGCATTGCCCACAGCTATCAACCTCTCCTTCTCTTCCGCAACCGTGGCCGGCTTATCTGATTTTTGCGCCCCGGTCAACCTGGCAAGCAGCACGAAGGACATCCCACCAAGCACGTTGTTCATGCAGCGGAGAGCAACAACGGACACCTTGAACACCGGCGCCGGTGCGACCTTGCCGAGCAGGTACTCGACCCCATTCAGCGTCTGGTACCGCAAGTTGCTGCTGACACCCATGTGGAGCGCCCAGGTGGCCGCGTTGAGCAGCGTGGGCGGCGCCTTGTTGGGCGTCTCGAACGCCGGGTCCATGCGCTTCCGCATCGCGATAAGCCCGTTGGAGATCGCGGTCCCGGCGAGCCCGGCCGCGAACCCGACCACCGCGAAGGTGGCGCCCTTGGACATGATCGTGGCGACGCGGGAGCCGAGCGAGTACGCGCCTGGCTCGAACATATGGCTGGGGAGCGCTTTGGCGGCGGACGAGGCGGCGGCGGCGACGCCGGCGGTGGGGGCGAGGAGGTACATGAGGACGAAGTTGAGGATGGATCCGACGACGAGGGTGGAGAAGACGAAGTCGAGCTCGTTGAGGCCGAAGTTGGGGCGGGAGGCCATGTCGCCGAGCACGCAGGCGGTGACGCCGACGAGCTCCTCCATGAGCACCTTGAAAGGGAACTGCGGGTCCGCAGCGACGCGGGCGGCCCACCCGGCGAGGAAGAGCCCGAGGATGCCCCCGCGGCGGCCGCCGTCGCCGCTGCCACCGGAGTCCGCGGCGTCGCCAGATCCGCCGTACGATCGTGGCGGCGGGGGCGGGGGCAGCCTACCCCCCGGGCCGGACGGGCAGGGGGACCGGAGGCGGAGCAGGGACGAGGAGTTGGCGGAAAGCGGTGAGAAGGTGAGATTCGCGGTGGGCGCGGCGCGGTGGGGAGCGATCCGCGGGGAGGAGTCGAGGTGGGCGGGGAAGAACTTGGCGGCGGCGAACGCCGTGGAGGCCATGGCGATCCGGACACGAGGGGATCGCGCGCGTCCTGTGCCCCGCTTGCGAGACGGCGGCGGCGGTGCGTTGCGGTAGGTGAGTAGGGGCGAGACGGCGTCGGATGGGAAAGGGTTTTGGCCTTTTTGGGGGTTGGTCAGTTGGAGTGAAGGAGTGCAGGGCTGTTTGGTGGTGGGGATTTTGCAAATCAAGTGCGCTCTGCCTCTGCTTCGTGCGGGCGACCACCTGTCCGTGAGTCCGTCCACCGACGACGACGAGATGGCTGCTTGCTGAAATCTGGCGTTTGGGTGATGAACAGTGCGCGAGCTGGCCCTGTTCTTCAACCGAGTGAGCTTATTTCAGTTTATTCTCTGGTTTTGGCTCCAAGGACAGTGGCATGATTAGGCATAATTGGGGAGAGTCAGCATGTTTGTTTGGTCCGTGAGTCCGTCCACCGGCGACGGCGAGATGGCTGCTTGCTGAAATTCTGGCGTTTGGGTTGATGGATCGTGAAGAAGATTTAATTGTTTTGGCTCTAATTTGATGATGAGATAAAAAATCTTTGTTCGTTGAATTGAAGAAATTTACGATCGTTTATGTGAGAGAAATAAGCCCGGGCCAGAAAGCCGAACAGGCTAAGCATGTTTCTTGTTAGATGTGGTGAGAGAAAGCATGGTACCAGACTAACAGGTAAGAGTAATTGAGAAACTGAAGAGGTCATGAAATGAATTTTTTATACTATTAATATTTACTGCTGTTTACTGCTCTCAAACTCTTTTTCGGTCAAAAATCCTCTGCTCTTTTAACACGGACAGCAAAGAGAGAAATGACGGGCATGCTTATTGCAGTCCTGTTTGCCTGGCCGGAAACAACGGTTGACGTTGATTTGTCGTAAAAAAAAACACTGTTATTTTACTTAAAAAGTACTGCTGATAAAGCGAACAGGCCCAAGGAATGTACACTCCCAAAAACAGTCAGGTGCATTAATTACAGATGAATCTTCCCAGGAATGTTACCGATTTTCTATGCGAGCTGTTGCCGGGATGAAGAAATCAGGGCTTCAACCAAACAAGTTACAGGAAGGGCTCAGGTTTCCTAGTTCCTGCAGGCCAGGCAAAATTTGCTCAGGGTTGCAACCAAACGAGGCCGAAACGGGTGAGCTGAGTTCCGTACACAGAATCATAGGAGCAGCGTCTACGGCTGCCTGTTCTCCAACTAATAACAAGTTTTGCAACACAAAGCAAACTGCAAATGACAGTGTGTTATGAATTCCTAACGAATGTACAACATGTCCCACGAAGCCCTTGCTTGGGTCTTACAACAATAGTTCTAGGAGTAAATTCCCTTGTGCAATACCAACTCACCCCGGTGGCCAATTCATCTGCCGTCCACCGAGAAGATGAAGGTGTAGGTGGTACACCGATTGAGCTACGTAATAACAGAAGACAGAAAAATCAGTCGAAACCCCATTCCCCACCAGGGCACCAACAAGATGGGTCCTGTTAGAATCAGTGAACGATACTCACATCCTTTGGGCCCATCGTTGATGACAATTCTGAAGCCATCATCAAGCCCTTCCTGCTTTGCTACAACCTTTGCAGCATACAGAAGACTGCCCAGAACCTCGACGTGCCTTTCTTCTGCCTGGCAACAAGCACAGCAATGCATTACAGTTACTGTAGATTATTTGTGCATCAGTATATGCACCAAGAACCATGAATCCCTAAAATAAGTCATAAACCAAGGTGTGAGCTTTGCTGTTTTCGACTGTACTGCCATTTTGTCCTTCATATTCAGAGTGTTATGAGGTGCAGAGGGTGCTAAGAGGCAAGGTCTTCAAGGCTTAAAAGTCCCATCAAAGAGCTGCAGTCTACAATCATATTTGTTCATACCGAAACATAAATGGTTGTGAGGTGGTGAATTGCAAAATATTTTAATAGTTTCTTATTCTAGTTGGACTTGTGGAGAAACATAAAGTTTTCGGTTTTCCTTACAGTGAACTGAAAATCAGCCTACTATATTCCAAAATATGATAATTAGCAAGTCATGATTCTTAAAAGCTCTCATGCTAGGGAACCGCATGTACTTCAGTTGGTCAAGCTCTTAGTACAGTTAGGGGCTCACTGGCTGGGGTTCAAACCCCAGTTCCTGCCTCCCTAGGCCTGCGCATAAGGCTCGGATGTATTCTATTCCATGCGCCCTCAAAAGCTCTCTTGCCCCAAATGGCACAAATCATGGCAAGGTCTGGACTGGTGGACCCATTAGCATTTGCCAAAAATAAATAAATAAATGAAATAAAACAAAATCAGACAGATAAATGAACCTTCATATGTATTGGTACACTTATGACAAACAGTTACCACAAAAATTAGTGATTTCATGAAAACTACTATCATTAAGGAAGTGCCATAATCATTCATGAACATAGAAAAATATCAATTATCATTCAAAGCATAAGGTAAACTGATCATGTTTTCAAGCACCTAGTACTGCATGATGAAAGCCATCAGCGTACAAGGCACAGTACTTGGCAAAATACAATCCATAAATATGAGGAATAGACGAACATGCATACCTTTGACAGCCTAGACAGCCCATCCTTAACCTTCAAGATGATTATAATATGTGTAGGAGCTTGTGGTGATATGTCTCTAAATGCAAGGACCTGCAGTTATAGGCATACAACTATACAAGTGTGACATCACAACAATTTAACTGTAATCACATACTGCACTGACATTTCAATCTGATTATTCATATCCATGAAGATACATTTCTGAAGGTGGTTGGCTTGCCAACGAAATCTAAGGTATTTTTTCAGGAGCACAATTTGTTGAGGATAGACCAATTCAATTCCTTTTTTAAGCCTGAAAGGTTTCAATGTGAAATCCCCCTGCTGACATGGCAGAAAGGATGATAGACAGAGACACAAAATTCCCCAGATTTTTTAGCCCAGCATTTCAAGGAAGAATGTCTAGGGATAAGCTGTTCTCGAGTTTTGCTAATGCCATGTCAAGGAGGAACATTGCCATAGCACCAAGGTGACAGAGGCATCATTAATTTTAAAGTGTAACACTCATTACATTAGAAAAAAAAGGAATTTTATCCTGATAGCACAAATAATATTTAACCATCTCATCCTCATAAACCACCTCAGATGGGATCTCCTTCCGAATAATTTTGTCAAAACTACAAAAGGCAGAGAAGTAACCATGTGAATGGAGCATGTATGTGTGAAGAGGATAAAATAGTGTTCATATACAAAAATTACCAGAATGGCCAACACCAATGCTTTTCAAGTAAAAAAGAATGAAGTTTGAATTTAGCACAAGTTAGCAACTATTTCACATATCTAAGCAACAAGCATGATGCCCAAGCTTGATTAGCTAACAGGGACTGCTATGCAGCGAAGTTGTTTGAAGATTTCTGCAAGTTTCCCTAGCCGTAGGTTGAGTGCATCATGACGGATAAACGAATGCTGCCAAGCCAATGATATATTTTCAGGAGCTCAATAACCAATTCCACCAGATGCCATATCGTGTGGGATTTTTTCCTAGATGATGTGAGGTAACCAAACATTGCTCAACTATTGAGCTTATGTCTTATGAGTTATGACAAATGAGCTCCTGTTGAGGAGAGGAGGTCGCGCTCCTGCTCCTGCAGGTGCTAGTTTCAACTACATACCTAAAAAACAAGGCCTTTAGTTAATGTTGCCATCTGAATCAGCACTATGGACATACTGCATTGGGATATCTTGATTCACCCAATTGAGTGATAATCTAAGCACATCAGCGTCTCCTGCAAAATCTAACCACCTCAACAGAATACGATCCGGACTACACGAACCATCTCTCGCGTTGGGATCAGTACAGCTCCGCACCGAAGTCCAACACCTAGGATCCAAAATCCAGGGTACTCTGTGCTTTTGCTTAATTTACTAGAACGAATTACTCTCCATGACGCTGCCAAATCGCCATCACGCTACCAAATCGAAGTGAATTACTCCCTCATGACGCTACCAAATCGAAGTGACGGTACAGGATTTCGTGAGAATTAAGAGAGCTGACATGGTAGGGGTGCCGGTGGCGGTGGGCTCGGCGGCGAGGGCGGCTTCCTTCTCCACGGACATGGCTGCCGGACTGCCGAGCGGAGGGCATGGTAAGTGGGACGCGATGACCGCGAGGCGGTTGCCGCTCGCGGTCGGCGGAGGAAGTTGAGCGCTCATCCCCACTGATTTCCCTCGCACCCTCTCGCTGCTCCTTCTCTTCCGAAGTCGTTGAGCACTCGAGTACTTGACCAGTTGCTCCCCACGCAGTCCCGCCTGGGGACGAACCAACGCACCTTTTTCTATATTTAATCCGACAAAATTTATATTTTTAGATAAATTCGATTTTGGTTTGAAATCCAGAACATCAAATTTGAAATCAGAATAAAAATGGTTTAGACATTTTTTTCATTTTTTACTTTTCTACTTTTAATTCGAAATATCCCGAATTCGAAATTCGGTTTAAACCGAATTTGGTTGTACGAAGATTATTTTTATATGAAAATTATAGCTCTCGATGAGATCTACAACTTTCTAGTTTTTAGTTTTTCATTTGAGATCTTTAAGGTAGTCAAAAAAAAAAATTAAACAAAATTTCAGCGGTATATTAATCGCGTACAAGAGCTTGTTGCCTTAGAAAAATCATATATTTTTTATACGGTGTCGAATGAAGATATTTTTTATGAAAGTTGTAGGACTTATTAATTATTATTCATTTGTTAATTGTTATGCACTTGGTCTATTTCGTATTGATTTTTCGTATACTGATCGTGTTCGACATAATTTGGCTCGAATTAGCAACATGTTCGGTTGGCTGGTTCATATCGTTGCTGATTCGTTTATGTGAGAGAGAAGTACTGCTGGCTGGTTCACGTGAACAGTATTTTTCTGAGAGGGCTGGCCAGCCAGCCGCTCCCAGCCGATCAGGCTCTAGTTTGTTTTCGAAATTCTCGATATTTCGTAAGTTCGTGTTCGGCTTTACCGCTTTCACTTTCACTTTCGTACTTAAATGTAAAAGTAGAAAACCATTGAGACTCGATTTTACTCCTTCTTAGAATCAAAACGTAGTACACATCTGACGCTGAGTTTAGCGAAGCCTATCACGTTCACGGCTACATATTCGCAAGGTGTCAGGAAAGCGCACTGTATTACTTCTACACTTCTATGAGCATGATTAATTTAGTCACTAAATTAAACCCACATCTGAAATCAAGGCCCTGGTAATGCGAGGGTTCAGAATCTGCACTTGATTTTTGTTTTCTCAATCTGTGCTTGAAACAATTGATACTTCATGCTGGTAAAACAGACACATCAACACCATTTTTCAGAAGGAAACACATCAGCATCTTATCGGGCTGTACGTGACGTTTCACCAGCAGATAATTGAACAGCAGTTACAGCTCGAATCAGCACCAGACCGGGGGCTCCACAATATGATGCAGTGGGGTCAGGGTAAGTAACCCTGACTAACTGCAATACCACAACTTCACAAGTAAAACAAATAAATAAAAAACTCCTAACAGATTATTATGTTAAAATATAACAACGTAGATAGTATGTGGCAAGGATGACCCAATGGCATACACATCAAGTGATTCTTTGTGCCCACATTTCAGAAAAAAGCAAAGCATTTCGACAAATAAAAGAATTCATTATTAAGCGATTCTCCCAGAAGATGCATCAAGAAACTGAATCTTGTCTCTATCACCCGATACAAGGTGATGGAAAGAATAACGAACACAAGAGTCAAGTAATTTAACTCCGGTTACCAAATAAGGGTTTCCATACTGCTCATAGTTATATGTATCCATCTGGCACAATGCAAGCTTCGCAAGCAGAGAACATCACACATGCAAGAGCAGGGTTAAGTCACACCATGTAAACAAGCTACGACCACCTACATGTGTCCTGCAGATTTACATACTAGGCTAGTAGCAAGGCCTCGGACAGCACATGCTAGGCTCCTGCTAATCTAGAGAGAGAGGGAGGGAGAGAGCAAACCACCGAGCTAGGATAAGCAAAAACTCCCAAGCTAGCAAATGTTTCTAAACCGAAGAGGCAAAAATTTACAATCCACAGGACTTAGAAACGACAAAACAAGATATTCTGGATACAATCAGAAAGTCGCTGAGCCTGTTCTCCTGAGTTGGTACTTGGGCTCCGGAAGAGGCGTAGAGAAAAGTATCTTTTCCAACTCCTGAAGATAACACAAAAAAGGGTAAGTGAGTCAACGAAATCCATCACTAACTCCATCAGAGTACACGAATACAAGAACCTACCATGGGAACTGTATTGAATTAAATAAAAGAACCAAGAAATCAGACCAACAGATTGTTTGCAACTATCTAACCATTTACATCAGTAGTAGAGCACCAGAGTCTTGGTTTTGATTTTTTTTTTTTTTTGGCACATGAGAAATTATTTGTCAGAATACGATGTCATGAAAATGCTTCCACCTCCTCATTCTTTGACAATATTACAGCAATATGAAAGATGAATTACTTAGTAACATAATAGCCATCTAATGCCATAAGCACCAAATAAAAGATCAAAAAGTTGCAACCAACTAAACAAGATCACTTGGCTAGAAATTAAGTTTGAGATTGAGGCTACAAACATACTAACTGAACAATGGAACAGGTGGCTGTATAAACTATTGAGTTACCAATATCAAGTGGTCATCAGGATGTAGCAACAAAGACCAAGATATAAAGTCCAAACTTGAATAGCTAGTTACATATCATCCATCAACAATAGCATATAAAGAAAAGAACATTAGCTATAATGGCACTAACACATCTGTGTAAATGACTCGACTTTGAACCCACAATATAAAACAAAACTCAAACCTGCACATTTTTTTCCAAACTATTTAACATATGAATCTCCAAATTACACTAGTATAGAACTTAAATTTACAAAACTTTTGAGTTATCTAGAAAAACTTGAAAAGATAGTTTCCACAAACAAATGATAATAACAACCAAGAGCTCTCTATTATAAATATACATCATATGTCTATAGAGCTGTAGTTCTCTTTTACTCTAAGGGTTTGATTGGTTGTTTGCATTAGCCTTAGCCTACATTAGACCTTATGCAGCATAACCTAAACATATGCAATGTCTTGGCGTTTGGTTGTTCTGCACAGGCAAGCTACATTTGATAAAATTGTGTTTGATTGTTTACTTTTTGTTGCATGTAGTCATCTCCACGTTCAAGTTGAGGTCTCATGTTTCTAGTAGAAGTATGAGGGATGAGAATATTTCATTTTTGTGTGCGCATCGGGTTGTGCAAACCTGCATTGTCTACTATGACCGAATCTGGCATACTAGCTAGAGTAGTATACTGTGCAAGCCTGAGCTTATACAGGCAACCAATCAGACCCTAAGAATTTAGAACTAGATATAGCGGGCTTGGAATGCACCCTTCTGATGCAAGACAGTAGATCAGAATGCTGTTGTTGCATCCAGCAAGAACATAAAATGGCTCTCTTAGAATTTAAATGAACATGTTTATCCATTTTTTTGGCACATCATTCAACGTAGCATAATATAACCATACACGATTACTTCGAATGTGTATAATAACATCTGGTGGCCTTTTGAGGGTAACTAGCGTAAATAAAAGTTAAGCAGCTACCGGTGTTTCCAAATTGTAAATCGAGTCTAGTTACCTGGGCAACAACTAACCGACTAGTTGTGAGTCGCGATTAGTTTAGGGCTAGTCAACCTAGTTGGTTGGCTATCCCAGTATCATTGACTGCAAATATAGTAGAGACTAGATGGAGAAGTTTAGCACACAGATCAGGGTGCAGACGCAGAGAGGACAGAGGAGACAACCGGCAACCAGAGAGCAGAGGTTGGGGCGTACGGTGCGACACAATTTGGCATGGACCTTTGCTGGAAGGAGACGGAGGTGCACCGTGGGATGCAAGCGGAGGTGGCTGCAGCGTGGCAAGCTGTAGATGGAGGTGGCGGGCGGGAGAAATTTCCCTTTCCTACTTGTGCTCCATTACAGGCAGTGGGTGAAGATCGGCTACTTCAAAAAACAAAGCTGCGGCTGTGTGTTAGTATATATAGTTGGTGACAAGCCGATGTAGTGTGGTCTGGGCCACAGATACTACTGGGCTGAAGCCAAAGTTGCCAGTGAGACATAGCCGACTAGTCAATGATTAGTAAACTAGCCAATGTAATCGAATCGATGCACCTAATTGTGCCCAGGGAACAATTTGTCTATTAACATTGATTATTCATGATTAACTGAAGGATTTCAAAACAATCGCAGCTAAAAGTATAAATAAGAATTAGAATTGCCCTTCGCTATTCGAGCCCCAATAAATATTTGAAGGGACAAACAGCACAAATCTCATAATTGGATCAACCAACACATGCGGCATTTCGGATCTTAGTTTGTACACCTACCTGAATATGGTTTATCTCCAGCTATAGAAGCGAAAAGGATAGAAGAAATGAAAAAAAAAAAACTTCAAGGGATTTAGGGATGTTTAGATAAATGCAAGTCTTCAAAGTGGACAGAAAGAGGCAGATGTCAATGAGAGTAAAATACTAAAATGACACCTATTCAGAAGCAGAAAGTCATTTGTTAGCAAAACAAGGGTGACATTCTGATGGTATTGTATTGAAGAACTAAAGTACCTTTTGCTTCTTTAGCTTCTCATTCTCCTCTTCTAATCGAGATACCTTGTTTTCCAGTTCATTAGTGTAGGCCTGTTAAAAATACAGTGTAAGTAATACTCAGGTTACGAAGAACAGCGTCATGATTTCAAAAACTTTACTCACAGATCACAAGAAAAACTAGCTCAATCAATTAGCTAAAACATAGAAAGGCAGGAAGCATATATTGCAACCTGCTTCCTAGCCCTTGAACGAGCAGCTGACTCCCTATTCTTGATCATCCTCTTCTGCCTTCTCTCCATCAACTTATCTGCCACATCTCCTGGGGAATCACGCTTTCTACCAGGTGTCGGAGAATCAGAAAGTGCACCCATCATTGGTGAAGTAATGTGGCCATCAGAGTATGACTCCAGAATAGCACCTGGCCCAACATTCAGAGGCTGAAGGGCTAACCGACCCGGCATGTAAGCACCTGGCAAACTATGTTGCCCGTGCTGATGGGGCTTGATAGCTGTAATCCGCTGCTGATAGTGGTCTAACCATTGTGCCCCAGTGGTCAAACCCGCAGCCCCAGCGCTACCAACCTGCTCCACATTGCCTACGTCATTCAAGTCCTTCAGATATCCTTCGGTGACAACCCCAGCTTTCACCAAGAAATCCTCAAGCGTCATCTCCCCAAGCGTCGGCTGTCGCTCCCGCTCCCGCCTCCGCCGACCACCCTCCCCAGCATTTCTCTTTGGCGCATCCTGGATGCCCTTCCACACCTCGTCCACAGTCCTCTTGCTGAGCTCAGGCGGCATCGTGATGCTCCCCTGTCGCAAGAGGCCGGAACTCTGCTCATACTGGCTGGTAGTGCCACCATCAGGGTCCAGGCCATCAGGAAAGACACTCTTCAGCAGTTCCTCAAGGTTCATGCTGTGTAGGGGTTCTCCCAAATGGCTCTGCACCTCATCAAGGGTGAGGTTATACAGAGACCCTTGTCTTGCCAGGCTCTGCATCTGCCCGTGTTGCGCTGCGCCGGCACCGCCACTGCCACCCACGCCTCCTCCACCTCCCCTAGCCTGTGATGCCATTGTCTGACTCCCCATTAATCAACAGATTTCAGGAACAACGCTAGCCGGTCTCAGCTTTACTGACACTCAGATCAAGCGATGACAAATCGCACATCGACGGGCAGAAAGATTACAACCTGCAGATCCAAAATACAGGGGGGAGCCATCAGGCAGCTGCCACTGAACCCAACACGGATAAAAATGGAAAAAAAGGGTCAATATTATTATGAATTCAATCGAGGCATGGGAAGGGAAGAAGTGACCTTACCTGCACGTGAGACGCGCAACCCTCGCCGGCGCCGGAGTCGGTGACGACACCGCCTCTCAGCTCGCCGCGGGCGTCGACCACTAGCCTGGGCGCCTGGCGTCGGTCTGGGGCTGTTTCGGACGGAACAGGAGTGGGTCAGGCAACAACGCGGAAGGCGCTACCTTGTGTGGCCGTGGCCCGACCGAGGCCGAGCGCCCTAGCAGGGCGCGGGCGGCAAAAATCTTTCCCTTTTTTTTTTTGGCAGTGTTATCTAAACAACAAACGGCGGTTAGTCGGTTACTCTTTGTTTACCATTTAGACGATGTTTAAATAGAGTTAAACAACCTAAACTATTTTATATAATATATACCACTAAAGTATATTGTTTTGTATAATACCGTTTAAATAGCACAATAGAGTTGAAAGGCCTAAATAGAGTACATATTTATACATGTAAAATTTAAATATGCTAGCAAGTATATATATTCGTGCATGTAAAAATAAGCCCTCTAGCAAGAAAAAACTTTGGGTAAAGAAACTAAATCCTAGCCCCTTCACATATTTACATTGTTAATTGGTTACGAGCTAATGTGGTGGCTCAAATTCTCCTATTGACTACACGGTAGTTTAAATGGTTGTTCATTTAATCATACTAGAGAATACCAGCGTGTTGCTGCGGAGATTCTAGATAATTTAAAAAGAAATTAGACTATTTATATTTATAGTTATATGAATGAAACTATCTTAAATTAATTTTGGTGAATGGTTTGACACATCAATGTGGACAGCTAAATGCATGTTAGTGGATGAAGAGATAACTATCATAATTATATGTGCTAGTTGACTATAATTGCAAGTTCTAGTGGATAGCTTGCATGTTGAGAGAAATCTCTAGTGACGTTTAGCTTTATAAGAGTATATGATTTAATTACTATCTTTTGGTTAGGTCATTTTCATAATTTATATGTTCATGGATCGTTTTGTGTCTAACCGACATGGTTAACCTTTGTTTATTGTTTAAAGACCATTTTAAAGCTTAAACTGCTATTGAGACAAACAGTATAATATCCATGGTAAATAATCGTGAGCATCTCCTCAGGTATATTGGTTTCTTAGTAAGAGTTAGGAACACTGCATATATTAATTAAGCTAGCTAGGCTCCGTACACCATACGTCTCAATTTGCACCTTTTTGCAATGACAGAAAAATAGAGAGCAAATTGAGCTTAGTTGGATAGGTTGGTTGTGGTAGAGTATATATCCACTGGTTCAAATACTTATCTTGAAGTGGGTAATTATATTTTTTCTAAATTTATTATAGGATTTAATGACAATATTATCTTTTGCAAGGATAGTGTCGGTGTTTCGGAACCGGGGGTCCTTAACCGACTAGTGAATTTGTGCTGCGTGCTCCCAATTTCGGATGGAGATGCAAAGAGACACAAGGTTTATACTGGTTCGGCAATGGATGCCCTACGTCCGATCTAAGAAGATGTTCTTGTATTCCTTGCACCGGTGTGTGTGCTCGTAGTAGGGGTTACAAGCTAGGCGAGAGAGGAGTTCGTCCCATGTCTCTCGTGTGAGGGAGGTGATATGAATTACCGAACGAGGCGTGTTGTTCGTATGTGAGTATCTCGTGATTCTATCCGTCGTCGTCCCTAGAAAGCGGTTCTGGTTGCCTCCTTTTATAGCCACAGGAGGAAACCATGGTACATAAAAAGAGCTACACGTGGAGCAAGGACTATTCGATGGCGTATTTATTCACGGAGCGACATGGCGTTGTCGTGGAAGTTCCGTAGATGTCTAATCGGTATGGTCTCCACTGCGGGTAACATCTTTGCACATTTGTTGACTTGGTGGATCGCAGAGGCTCGGCGGCCATCGTAGCCGGTCGTGCCGAGGCTGTTGTCTTTGAGGCTCGCCGTCGCGAGGCCCGAGAAGTGACCAGTGCGGTGCGGGTTTCAGCCGCCGTCGGCGGAACAAAGTCGAGACGTCGCCTTGCTGTGAAAGCGGTACTGTATTGTCGATGAAGGGACGGTAAAAAGGTGATCGACCGTTGTCCGTCGCCCGATTCTTGCGCCAAGACCGCCGATCGTGGCTTATAGCGCGGGTGCGGTGGCGCGCATTAATTGGATGCGACGACTACCGCCAGAGACTTTTGAGGCGGAGGCGACGAGGTTGTGGGACGAGCCCGGCCTCGGGCGAGGCGTGAGCGCTGCCAATTCGTCCCGAGGCCCTTCCGAGGGGGTCTCGGGCGAGGCGGGACGGCGAGGTGGAGTAAGATCGGTGAATCCGAGGCCTGTCGAGGGGCTCGGGCGAGCCAAAGCGGTCGGTCCGCCGATTCCGAGGCTCTGAGAACCCTCTCGACTCCCCACGTTGCGATGTCCTTGAGTGCGGGGAGTTAGGCAAACATAGTGGTCGGTAACCCCTACTGCGTGCCGTCGCGAGATGGCGGGAGGTTGACGCGACTGGCGTGTAGTCGGTCACTTCGCTGTACTGTGCCATCGTGCGTCTGTCGGAGTGGTTGGGCGCTTGGATGCGACGTTCGGTCAGAGCAGTTTGGTTGAAGAGGCGGCCACGGGGCTGGTGCCGAGCCGGCCTCGCGCGAATTGGAGAATCGGCACTTCTTCCGAGGCCCCGGGCGAGGGGGCCTCGACGAGGCGGTCTCGGGCGAGTCGGATAATCGTTCGCTTCCGCTGGGGCTCGGCGACGGGGTCTCGGGCGAATCGGAGATTTCGGCCGAGACCTCGTTTGTTTATTTCATTGGTTATGTTCTTAGGGTCTGAGTAGTTTTTCGATCTTTGCTTGGGGTACCCCATTTTCTGGTATCCGACAGTAGCCCCCGAGCCTCGGGCGGGAGTGTGGGATACTCTCCCCGAGGTTTTTTTGAGACTTTTGTTTCTCTGTGGCTCTTGTCGGGTTCGTTTTATACTCACGATTCTGGTGGGTGCGCGCGAGCGCACCCGCCGGGTGTAGCCCCCGAGGCCCTAGAGGAGTGAGTTTACTCCTTTAGGGGCTTTTTGTACGACCCTCGCGCATCCTTTTCGCTTGGAAGGAGGGGCTGTTTGCCGAGCCCTTCGCGTGCGAGCCTAGGCCGCTGGATCTCGGCAAGGTTGCAGGAAGAGCCCCCGAGCCTCCGCACGTAGCGAGAGGGCGATCAGGAGTTCCCCTGGCTTTTTGTATGACCCTCGCGCATCCTTTTCGCTCGGAAGGAGGGGTTGTTTGCCGAGCCCTTGGCGTGCGAGCCCTAGGGCCATTGGTCTCGGCAAGGTTTCGAGGAAGAGCCCCGAGCCTCTGCGTGGAGCGAGAGGGCAATCAGGGAGTTCCCCGGCTTTTGTACGACCCTCGCGCTTCCTTTTCGCCGGAAGGAGGGTGGAACATGCCGAGCTACCCTCGGTGGTGAGCGATGACATTTCGATGAGCTTTTATCGGGTAAGTCCGAGTGGAGGCCCGTGCCCCATTCGATAGGGGTCGGCTAGTGGTCGAGACGCGCTCCAAAAAGTACCGGAAGGCTTCTCTAGCAGGTGCGGGGCCGTTCGATTGGCCCTAGGGGCTCGGTGCCTCCCTACGGTGGGATCCCTTTAGAGAACTCCTGCTGGTCTCGGACACGACTTAGGGCATCCCAAGCAATCGCTTGCTCGGGCCTCGGCCATGTAATGGGCTCGCCCATAGTTGTCCTCGACTACTCTGTCGTCTGAGGCGGTGTCGAGACCATAAATGGCCTAGCCTTGAACCTCTGGACCGTAGCAGGCTCGGTGCCCTTTTTTCGTCATGTTTTTTCGATCCTCGGGGTGTACTTCTCGGCAAGGTTTGCGGGAAGAGCCCCGAGCCTCCTGACGAAGCGAGAGGGCGATCAGGAGTTCCCCGGCTTTTGTAACGACCCTCGCGCATCCCTTTCGCTCGGAAGGAGGGTCGTTGTCGAGCGAGCCCTTTGTGTGAGCCTAGGCCTGGGTCTCGGCAAGGTTTGCGGGGAAGAGCCCCGAGCCTCCCTTGACGTAGCGAGAGAGGGCGATCAGGAGGTCCCCGGCTTTTTGTAACGACCCTCGCGCATCCCTTTCGCTCGGAAGGAGGGGTTGTTTCTTTGAGCCCTTGGCGCGTGCGAGCCTAGGCCATTGGGTCTCGGCAAGGTTGGTTGAGGAAGAGCCCCGAGCCTCTGCTTGGCGGAGGCGAGAGGGCGATCGGGAGTTCTCCTAGCTTTTTGTACGACCCTCGCTTCCTTTTTCGCTCGGAAGGAGGGTGGAACATGCAAGGCTACCCTCGGTGGGTATGAGCGGTGACATTTCTGGTGAGCTTTTATCGGGTAAGTCCGAGTGGAGGCCCGTGCCCCATTCGATAGGGGTCGGCTAGTGGTCGAGACGGCGCTCCAAAAAAGTACTAGAAGGCTTCTCTAGCGGGTGCCAGGGCCGTTCGATTGGCCCTAGGGGCTCGGTGCCTCCCTACGGTGGGATCCCCTTTAGAGAACTCCTGCTGGTCTCGGACACGACTTAGGGCATCCCAAGCAATCTTGCACTGGGCCTCGCCCATGTCTGGGCTCGCCCATAGTTGTCCTCGACTCACGTCGTCCCGAGTAATTTGTCGAGACCATAAATGGCCTAGCCTTGAACCTACGGACCGAGCGGGCTCGGTGCCCGGTTCCTTCGCTTCGGAAGGAATCGGTGGGGGTATTTCCTTCCATCGGCTAACAACGCCCGGCGAGTCTTTTGAGGCGGTCTTCTCGGGAGCTACCGTTGCTGCACGACGTGGTGTCGATGGATGGGACATAACCGTCTGGCGAT